TTCCGGCGCGGCCGTGATTCTTGTCATTTCGGGCATTGCGTAGTGGGGAGAGGGGAGGCGATAAATGAATGAAGGGGGTGAGGAAAGGTGCACCTCTTGTGCCCTAACGGGGCCCCCTGGGGCTCGAAAGGGGCAGGAAAGGTGCACGTGTTTGCCCCCATGTATCGCCCCCCTTTGATTAACGCCCGACTCGTTCCCCGGCTGCTTGCTGTCAGCGTCCGTCAGATCGGGTGCCGCAGATGGGCCACCAGCCCGAGCGGCACCGTCGTTGGCGTTTGCCGCGGGCCCGTCTGCCCCCATGCCCTTGCCGAAGCTGTCAGAGACGCCGTTGGTAACGTACACAGTTGCAGCACGTGTTTGAGCGCATGGTTCTCCGCGTGATGGGTGAGGGAGAGCTGCTCTGGCGCAGGGTGCCCCAGGACCACCCTGCTCGAAAACGTGCTGTGCGTTGCGCTACCCCGTGCTGGGAACACCGGGGTGGACGAAGCCGCGTAGCTACGGCGTGGAAGGCTGGCTACTAGGAGCAGCAGTCATCCTTGGCCTCGGCCCTGGCAGTAGCTGCGAGCACGCACGCTTGCGGATGGCGCCAGCCTGACTCACAGCTCGCTAACCACTGGAAGCGAGACGTTGGCTCCCGTCGTGCCTGGTTTCTTTGCGGCGCGAGGGGGCCTGGGCCTACGGCGGCTTGGAGCTGGTGCCCCCGAGCGAGCAGCACTTCTCAGCGCGCGCGGTCGTGCGCGCGCGCGCTAGGCGGGCAGGGCTCATTTCGATTCCTCCGGTTCGATTCGATTCGATTCGATTTCGGTGGCCTCCGACTCCGATTCGATTCGATTTCAGATTCCGATTTGGACGCCGATTCCTCAATGGAGGCCTACTAACCTGCCGATTCCCGCCGATTCGACTTTTCCCGATTCGGCTGCCGATTTCCGCCGATCCGATTCATTTCGATCGCCGATCCGACTTGTCGATTCGATTCTGGGGGCGCCTGGGCGGGAACTCCCCGCCGCCCTCATCTGCGCGGCTGGAGCAGGTCGTCGTCGTCGCCGCCGCCGCCGCCGTCGTCATCGTCGTCGTCATCGTCGGCCGAATGGTCGGGTTTGTTTGCCACGCGACGGTGTCCGGGGGTACTCACTGCTTGCTGGAAGTTTGTGTTTTGGAATTCCCAGACTCCTGTATACGTTTAGGCGCCTTCCTGCTTCAAGGACCGAATAACTCTATGTGTTCCTTCATTTGCAGGGGGCGGGCGGAAACCCAATCTACAGTGGGCACATCAGATAAGAAATCGGCCTGTCAGAGAGTGCCCCACGAAAATTGCTTATCACTTGATGGGCCCGCAAGCCCTGGGGCACCTCACGAAGCCCAGAGTCGACTAAGAATGTGTCCCTAGATTTATTTAATCGCTTCGCTCATTCCGCCGGCCAGTATTGTGCCATCGCAGGCGTTTGCTTGCGCGTTCGTGGCCTCTTGGAGCCTCGGTGGGGCCGTTTGGGGCCTCTTGGCGCCTCTTTTTAGGCCTCTTGGAGAACTCGGGAGGCCTCCAGGGGGCCTCCTGAGCTCTCGTGACGGTCTCTTGGGGGGCTTTCGGCGGGCTCTTGGCGGTATTTGTTGGTCCTCTTGGGGCCTGGGGCCTGACGTTGTTGGTCCTCTTGGGGCCTCACGGGAGCTTATTGGGGCGTCTTGGGGGTGTCTTGGAGAGTCTCTTGGGGCCTCTTTCGGGGTCCTGGGCGCCTTCTGGGGCGGAGGGCTTGATTTTTCAGTTCTCGGTTCCCTTCTTGAGCCCCTCTTGGGCCCGTCTTGGGGCCTCTTGGTCCGCCTTGGGCAGCACTTGGGCCGTCTGGGGGGCGCTCTTGGGCCGCTCCGGGGCCGTCTTGGGAGCCTCGTGGGCCGTCTTGGAGCAGTCTTGAAGGCCTCTTGGGCCCTCTTGGAGCGTCCGGAAGCGAAAAGGCCAGAACGCAAAAAAACATAGAAAAAACAAATGAAAATCAACGATTTTGGCAACTTGGGGCCCTCTTCGGAGGCCTCTTGGAAGGCCCTTGGAGCGTCTTGGAGGCCTCTTGGGCTGTCTTGGGGCCATCTGGGGCGTCTTCGGGCGATCTTTGGCCGTCTCGGGCCTCTCTTGGACCGTCTAGAAAGCTTCTCGGGGCCCTCTTGGACCGATCTGGAGCCCTCTTGGACTCCGAAACAGAACTCCGGCATCTCTGACCCGACCTTGCCGGGGACTTGCCGGGACCTTGCCGGGGTACTTTTCGTCCGGGGACCCCCAGGGGCCGCCCCGCGCGCGCGAACTAGAAATACTGTTAACCAGGTACCGGAGATCTTAGCACGCCCTGGCCCGTCGGGCCGGCGAATTGTAGCAAAACTGCTTGCACCGTATGTGCGCACTCTACCTCCAACGCCCCTCTACGCCTCTTTGCGCCGCGTTTCTCCCCACTCCTTCCGCACGATGGGCAAACTTGGACGGATCGCCCCTGGAGAGCCGCGCGGCGCCAGCCGGGGGCAGGCTCGAGTTCGTCATGGGCTTCCGCGCCACCGAGGACGAGCAGTTGCAGAAGCCCCAGGCGGGCGCCCGCCCGCGCGCAGGGCGCAATTTTCGCCCTCCCCCCCCCCCGCCCCCACACCCACCCCACCCCCCGCCCCTCCCTCCCCGGGCTCCCAGCGAAAACAGAGGCGCAAGCGGATATAGGCCCGGGCGCCTGGAGATCTGCTCGGGCGCGCGGGCAGCGCATTCCCAGGCGCGCGGAGATGCGTGCAGATGCATGCGTGCAGGCGCGTGGCAATGCGTCAGGCGCGTGGAAGTGCACCCAGTCGTTGGAAGCCCATCCCTCTTGCCAGATCTGTGCCTTCGCCCTGCGACGACGGCGACGACGACGACGACGACGCCCGTCGTCGGAAGCCCAAAGCCCGCCTAGGGCCCGTGCCCTGCCCGAGGCCTCGCTGTTCGCTGCCGCCCTCCGCTTCCTGATGGCCGTCATCGGGATCGCAGGCCTCCCCCTGAGCTCAGGGGCAGCGTCAGGCGGAGACGGGCAGAATGTCGGCTTGTGGTCACCAAACGAGCCCCCCCCCCTCCGGGGCTGATGAATAGACCCCGTGGGGCGCGAAACATTTGTTTTAATCGCGCGCGCCAGGGGGTCGTTGCGGGCGCCGTCGAGAGGATCGTGTACCCCCCTGCGCGGCAGCCTAAACGGTTGCCCTTCGTATAACATGTGAGATTGGGATCGTATGCATTCGAGGCGAATATTCCCCCCTCTAAAGCTGGTTCCTGACGTGCCACAGTCGTCGCCGTCGTCCTCCTCGTCCTCGTCGTCGTCGTCGGTCGTCGTCGTCGTCGTCCTCATCGTCGACTGCGGCGGGCCTAAGCAGCAGCACCACCCCACCCCCCCATTAGGGCATCCGTAGTGCGTCGCCATCGTCGTCCTCGTCCTCATCCTCGTCCTCGTCCTTGTCCTAGTCGTTGTCCTCATCCTCGTCTCGTCGTCGTCGTCGTCGTCGTCGTCGTCGTCGTCGTCGTCGTCGGTCGTCGCATTCGTCGTATTCGCCGTCGTCGTCGACGACGACGACAGCAGCGGGCACAGGCAGAGGGCAGGCGCATGGCAGACCAGCAGCAGACCAAGCAGGAGGGCGCAGGCGCCGAAGGGATGGGGGATCTTCCTGCAGCTGGGCGTCCTCGTCTTTAGCTTGCTGGTCGGCGGCTGCGAGGCGAAGAAGGACTACCTGAAGGCCAGCTTCGACCCGCAATTGATCGACGTGGAACGTGACGGCAGGCTGCGCTGGAGGTTGCTTGGTGACAGGTGTGAGGAACTGCGTGGCAGGCAGCGCGAGCATGAGGAGCAGGTGGCCGCCCACGGCCTGAGTGAGCTCAGCATGGCGGTGGAGCCCAACACCTCAGAGCTTTGGGACTACCACGAGAAGGAGGACTGGGGGCTGGGCTTCGCGGTGCCAATCGCGAGAGCCGACCTGCAGCTGGACGATGCCAGGCTCGACCCGCAGCTTGCACCCAGCATCGAACGCTTCGACCTTGGCCAGGGCAAGAGGACCTACAAGGACATCGTCATCGGCACGCCCCTGAACGGGTCGGAGGGCAAGAGGCGGCGCAAGGTCCGGGGTACAGGCGTCGTCGGGTCCCTCGGCAAGGGGGCGGTAGAGGAGAGGAGGCGGCGGGGGGAAGAGCCGCCAGTGCGGCGCCCCCCCACAAGCGCGAGGAGGCCGAAGGCCCAGCCGCCGACCGCACAGGTCAGGTGGAGGGCCCAGCGGCTGCCAGGACCAAGCAGGGTGGCGAACCAGAGGACGAGCAGCAGGAGGCGCATGGCCGTGGCCGCAGTCCCAGCGCCAGCCTGGACCCCTCAGCCCCAATCCCTCTCCCAGGCGCGATAGGCCCCGCGGGGATAGCGTCTGGGGTGCAGCAAGAGGCCACTGGGGAGGAGTCGGGAGGGATGAAAGGCAGCGCAGGGCAGCGAACCGCGGCACGCTGGGGCAGCTCAGGACGAGAGGCACGGCAGGTCGAGGGTCCAGAGGTCATCTCTACGGCCCACGGCTACGTCACCCCCGACAGGAGAGTGAAGGGCTACGTTCACGGCGAAGACGGGCCCGACCAGCTGGAGGCACACCTGTCGGAGATCCTGTAGAAGCTCGAGCACAGGTTCCAACTGGAGGAGAACCAGAGGCTACCTGAGGGAAGAGGGCCTGACGACTGGACGGCACCTGCAGGAGATGGCGGCGGCAGGCAGGACGAGACTGGCGCAGGCGAAGGGAGAGAGGAGTTGCGGCGCAAGCGCCGGGGAAAAATAAACGAAGACGGGCCCGATCAGCCGGAGGCACACCTGGCGGGGATCCTGGAGGAGCTCGAGCATTGGTTCGAGCTGGAAGAGACCCGGAAGATACCTGAGGGAGGAGGGCCCGACGAGAGGACGGCACGCAGAGGAGACGGTGGCGGCAGGCAGGGGGAGGCCGAAGTCAGGTGCGCCAAGGCCTTCGAGCTCGCCGAGGGCGCCAAAGCGTTCTTGGAGGAGGCCGACCACACGATCGAGCTGCAGGGGACCCACAGGCAGATGGAGAGCGCCGAGGGGATGCTGAACTTCACAACAGACAGGGCCTCGTTAGTAGAGCACGGCGTCGGCAACAGCGAACACGGGGGAAGGGGAAGGCAGCCAGCTGGCCCGGAGGCCCCGACCGCGGAGGCTGCGAGACTGGCGCAGGCGAAGGAGGAGACGAGAAGCGCCACAAGCGCCGAGGAGGCAAAGGCGAGGCGCGAGGCAGAAGCGAAGGCAAGGCCCATGAGGCTGAACGGGGCAGATGCAGCGACGACGACGAGGGCGACCAGGAGCAGGGCATGGAGCTCTGCAGACGGACGACCAACACCAACAGCATGGAGCTCGGCGACCAGATTGCTGGAGGAGGCGCAAGCCAACGGCAAGGCGTTGCCAGAATACGTCTTGCTGCAGGAACACCGCTGCAAGACGCCCAGGACGGTGGCCAGGCTCAACGGCTGGGCCAAGAGGAGGGCGTGGAAGGCCACCACAGAGCAGGCCGAGGCGACGGGGCCAGGACCGCTCGAGTCGAGTGGAGGCACGGCGGTGCTGGCGGCAAGGACGGGGGGCAGCAGGCACGCGAGGTCGCTGCCACTCTTGGAGCCACAGGTCGACGGCCACGGAGGTCGACCTGGGCCTGCAGGCGAAGGCGCCCATGGCCTCCGTCTACCTCGAGCAATCGTTCGGGGTGGAAGGCAACGTGGAGCTACTGGAGGAGATAGGCAGCGAGGTGAGGAAGTTGTGGCGCCCGTGGGCACTAGGAGGCGACTGGAACATGGACCCGAGCTCGGTGCACGAGTGGGCGAGGAGGACCTGGGGCCGAGTGGTCTCGAGCGGCGACGCCACGATGGCCAGCGAGGAGTTCAGCTACTCCGTAGCGTCGGAGGTGCTGGCGACGTTGGCGAAGGAGGTGAGCGTGATCACCGACCTGGCGCGCAGCCCCCGCCCACAGGCCAGCGGCGCGCACGCTCAAGGGCGCAGGGCCGAGGGCGAAGGTGCAGGTGTTCTGCGAGCCTTGGAAGCGCGCGCTCGAGCTGCCTCCTCCAGTCAGAGCACCGCCAAAGGAGAAGAGGGTGTGGCAGCAGGAGGGGAGCGCAGAGGAGGCCTGCAGGGAATGGCTCACGGCGGCGGAGGACTACCTGCACGAGCTGCACGAGCTGCCGAAGCCCACGAACAGGCGCGAGGATGGTCCGCGGCTGCACCACGTAGCCCTCACGGCGGAGTGGCAGAGGCGCCTCGAGAGGCAGGCGAGCAGCACGACCGCGACGTGGGCCAGCGGGCCTGCGGCGCTAGTCAGGCTGAGAAGCACGGCGGGGAAGGACGACGCCAGGGCCAGGCGCTCCAGGGGGCAGGCCTCCGAGGACCTCCAGAGAGAGGACGAGTGGGCCGCGCGGCCCAAGGGGGGGCACCTCGCAGAGGGAGCAGAGGCCACGCTCACCAGATGGCCTGAGTGGAGCAAGGAAGAGCAGACGGCGGCGCTGGAGCAGGCCCACGAGATGCTCGACACTAGCTCGGAGGCGGACGCGGCGACAGCCAACGCGACATGGAGGGAGTGGGTCAATCGCGGCACGGAGGAGATGGGAGGCACCCATTCTTTCAAGCATCTGCGGAAGTGTCGCGTCGGCGACGAGGACGACCCCGAGGTCGGGGGGGGCCCGACCGCAGGGCCAGCGGCCATGGCGAAAGAGCTGGAGGCATGGATGCCCGCGCGGGCGAAGGAGACGAGGAAGAAGGAGCCCCGCCCACAAGACTGGGACGAGGGCCAGAAGCCGAGGGCGATCGCGGGGGACCAGGTCAGAGAGGCGCTGGGCAGGCGCGCCAATAACAGTGGCCTGGGCTGGGAAAGGCCCCACCCGAAGCTGCTCAGGCAGCTATCAGACGGCTACTCGGACAGGCTGGCGGAGGTCCTCAACGCGCGGGAAGCGGACGCGAAGCCGCCGGCACCGTGGAGCATGATCACGGTCTCCCTGCCCAAGCTTGATAGGAAAGTGCGACCCATCCACCCGCGCAGACGCCGGCGGCGCAGCGGGTGGCGGCCCCGGTGGGTCGCGAGCACTTCTGGGGCGCAGCGGACGCGCCGTGCGACGTGGCGGGAATGGTCTCGAACACGGTGGCGCGCCACGCCAGGAAGGCAGGGTTTGCGCGCGGCTCGGGGCTCATGGATCTGGTGAGGTTCTAGGAGCACGCGTGGCACCAGGCGCTGAGGTGCGAGGGGGGCTCGTCGGTTTCCCAAAGGAGCTAATGAGGCTGCTGCGCATCAGCTACCGCACGCCGAGGAGGGCGAAGTGGTTTGAAGCGGTCAGCGACGAGCTGGAGGTGAACAGGGGGCTCGCGGCGGGCTGCTCGCGCGCGACGGGGCTGGTCAAGGTCCTGATGCACGGGGCCCTGCCGGTGCTCGCGCGGGAGCACCCACTGGTGAGGCACCAGAACGCAGTCGACGACGCGATGGCGCAGGCGGCAGGTAAGGGCGAGGAGGTGAGGAGGCAGCTGCCTGCGGCGATGCTTGGGCTGGTGGACATGCTGGAAGCGACGGGCCTGATGGCGGCCTGGCACAGAACCAAGTTCATGGCGGGAGACGAGGAGACAGCGGGAGCGACCAGGGCCACCTCCGCGAAGGAGGGCATCAAACTCGAGAGGGTCTCGGGCGCGAGGGGTTTCGGCTGCGACGCGAATGGCGGCGCGAGGAGGAGGGCAGGAGAGCAGCGTGCCAGACGGGCCAGGGCAGCCAGAACGGCAGGAAGGGCGCAGATTCTCAGGGCTGCTGGGGCGGAGACCAGCGGAAGACTGCAGAGGAGCAGCCCGACGGCGACAGCGCCGCGGGGCTCGACGGTCACAGGAGAGGCGGACCACAAGCGGCACCAGCTGAGGATCCAGGTGGCGAGGGCAGAGGGCAGGCTGCCCAGAGGAGCGGTGGCCACCTGAGGGCGAGACCCAGAAGGTCTGGCGGCAGAGGAGGCAGCCCGAGCATGGGCCACGTGCGCCGGCGCGCCGACGAGGGCGTCACCGAGGAGCGCGATGGAGAGGTGCCGGCAGGAGGCAGGCAGGCTGCTGGACAGGAATTGGCCGTGGGCAGGCGCCCAGGCGACGCGACGCGCCTCGCGGTGGCGCGCGCAGGCATCGCGACGCCGTCGGCGCTTGGATCGCAGATGCCGACGGGCGAGGTGCTTGACGCGATTTGGCCGGGGCCTGCCCTAGTGAGCGAGGTCGTTGGGCGCGCTGTCAAGTGGATGGAGGATGCGAAGGCGCTACCAGCCGCGGGGGCCCGCTCGCCCCGGGAGGGGCCAGCGCGCTGGGAGCGCATCCAGGAGCTGGTAGCAGAGGAGGGGGCGGAGACATGGAGCCCGAAGCACAAGAGGGCGCCCAGGACTGCAGTAGGAGGCTCGGCGAGGCCGCGAGCGAAGTCGCACGTCCGAAACCTCGCGGCGACGGCCACTTGGCCGCAGGAGGAAGCGGGGCATCCTGCGGCACAGGCACTGCGGCCGCGACGCGGCGGTAGCACGCAGGAGGGGCGCGCGCCCGAAGGCGGCGCTCCAAGCGGCGAGGCTGGCCTTAGAGCAGGGAGAGGAGGCGGGGGAGAGGTTCGCCAGGGGCCTCTTCCCTGAGGCGACGCAGGCTTGGACGATGCCACGCGAGAGGCCCAAGAAGGACGAGGCGACTTGGACCGTGGAGCCGCCCGACGGGGCCTTCAGAGGAAGGGCGCTCGTAGACGGCTCGGCGACGGACCCCGCGGGGGAGATCCCGAGGAGGGCCGGCTGGGCGATCGCGCAGCATTCAAACGGCGGCCGGGGGATTGGAGCAGCGCGAGGCGCGGCGCCGCTAGCGCGAGCGCCGACGCAGCTGGCCAGAAACGGCGAGGACCACGCGTTCCGCCTCTTGTCAGGTTGCGCCCATGGCTCGCTGGAGGCATGCTGCGACTGCGCGGGCCCCATCAGGATGGCGACCGACGCGGGCAAGGCGCCGGCGAAAGGAGCGGCGAAGAGGCGCTTCTGGAAGAGGCTGCGGCAGGAGCTAGGAGGCTCCAGCGAGGTCGAGGCCACGAAGGCGAAGGCGCACTGGTCCAAGACGGAGTGCACCACCGAGACGGGGAGATGGACCAGAGAGGGCAACGAGGAGGCGGATGCAGGAGCCAAGAGAGGAGCCAGCTTGCGGGGACACTGGCCCCAGCGGGCTATGGCGGCGGAAGGCGCCCACTCCCTGGCCACGCAGACGGCGCGGTGGGCAGCGCAGTCCTAGGTCTGGCGGCAGTCGCAGGCGCCAGACGCGGACGGCATCCTAAGCGAGACCTCCATCGAGTTCGAGGGCATGGACCCTAGATTCCAGGAGGCCCTTGACGAGCTCAGGAAGGCCGAGGAGGAGCAGGCCAGGCGCGGCCTGCAGGTCGAGGCAGAGGAGGCAGGAGGAGGCCAGGCAGCTTAGGGGCCCGGCCCAGTCATCAGGTGGCTGGGCCACCACCTGGCGAAGCACAAGAGCGTAGAAGGCGAGCAGGGGCTGGCGCGCCGCAGGCGCGGAGCCAACGGGGCGCAGGGCCACCTGCAGACCAAGAGGAAGAGGCGAGAACTCCTCTGCAAGGAGCGCAGAGGCGAAGGGCGCGGCTGCAAGGAGCAGCTAAGGAGGCAGGGGAAGGGCCCGCCCCCCCCCCCCTCTCTCCCCCCCCCCCCCCCTCTCGAAGAAGGACTGTGCGCGTGCGCCGAGGGCGTCGAGGAGTGAGCTCGAGGAGTCAGCGGGCGGCGAGAAACTGCCAGACGGAGATGCCCAGCGAGGGCAGCTGGCGCGACGCGCCAGAGGGAGGACGGCCCCACAGGCTACGGCGGCGCGCCGCCGCTGCGACCGCCGTGCACAATCGACAAGGCCCACGGGGTCGACGAAGATGGCCTGCTGCCCCTGGGCAGACGAGCCAGGGCCGCCAAGGCCGACAAGGCGAGGGGGCCCGAGGAGGGCGAGGTTTCAAGGCGGCGCGCAGAGGAGGGCGGGCGGCCAGGAGGAGCAGCGGCGCGACGGCGCAGTGCTGCGACCCAGCGCAGGCGCTGAGGGCGCGCGGCCTGAGAGAGGAGAGGAGCTGATCGGCGAGCGCGGCCTGGCGCGCGCGCGCGGCTCAGCGCGGGGCGCGGACGGGCGCCGCGCCCCCACGCCCCGTCAGAGAGCATCAGAGAGCGTCGTCGTCGTCGTCGTCGCCGCAGTCGTCGCAGTCGTCGTCGCCGTCGTCGTCGTCGTCGCCGATGTAGTAGTGCAGGGGGGATGGAGAAGAAGAATGAGGAACCCTTTCCGCCTACCTCTTCCGCCCCCCCCCCTCTCTTTCACCTCTTGGCGGTAGCCTTGCCGGCGCCGCCCGCCAGCTGAGGCGCCTCTTTACTCCGCATAGTTGTTCCTCTCCTGTCTGTAGCCAGTTTGGCCCAACCGCCCCGCCCCCCCGCTGAAGCGGCGCCGCTTGCGTCGCGCCTGTCGCCATCCCGCAGTCGGCCGGGCGTCGGCGCTAATCACGGGCGCCGCCGCCGCACGTGTAAATTCGGTGGTCAGCCACGACGGTTTCCTCTACGACATAGAGCTAGGCCTGGACCCAACAAGCTACGCATGCGCAGCTACCCGGGCGCGCCTCCTGCAGCTCGCAGGTCTTCGGCCAAGCGACAATCGGGACACGCACATCCCCGAAGATTAATTCCTGCCAGGGCGTCATCGGCTCAACTGGCGCAGCCCGTGGAGCCAGAGGGCGATGTCCTGCGCGCTGCCAGGGGCCCCTGGACAGCCGCCAGCGGCCTGGAGCATCACCGCCTGCGAGCGCAACCGACACCGAGGACTCACCGCCGAGCACCTGCACGCCCTGGCGCAGCCCCCCGACGGCCACACCCGCAGTCTCCGCGACGCACTAAGTGGCCCCGACAAGGCGCCGCTCAGCACAACGCGGGCCAGCAGCACGCTGACCCTCATGTTGCTGCTCACCAAGGAACCCAGGCCCTTAATGGCGCCCCACGCAAACCCTGGCCACATTGGCGACGTCCTGGAAACAGCTCTGGGCGTATGCGACCCGTTCATGAAGGCGCGACTACCAGTGAGAGACAGGTTCGGCTTGGCGCACGGGATCGCAGGGCAGGACTCGGACGCTCCACGGGCACATCGGGGCCGCCATCAGGGCCCCCATCGCGGTGGGTCGCAGTCACCCACCACCACAGCGCCGCCAAGGAGCATCACGGCACCAGCAGATGAAGCGACTTGCTGGCCCTAGACTTCCCACGACGGGCACGCTGGCGGTCCTCGACCAGCTCACCGCCTCAGCCGACCTGTCTGCGCTAGACGCGCATCAGTGCGCCGCGTGCGCACTCCTTTTCTCTCTCTCTCTCTCTCTCTCTTTCTTTCTCTCTCTCTCTCTCTCTCTTTCTCTCTCTCTCTATATATATACACGTGTATATATCTAGATGTTTGTGTATACATATGTATACATATATATATATATATATATGTGTGCGTTTCTCTCTCTCTCTCTCTGGATCTAACTGTCTCTGAAGTTGGGCCCCTTCCCGCCTCGCCGACCCCGACCAAGGCCATGCGCGCTGGCAGCGGGCAGACCAGCAGCGGGCGCGAGCTGCGCGAACCACCCCCCACGGGCGCCCTTCCAGGGGGGTTGCGCCCGTCGCCGCGAATCTTCACCCAGGCTTCCGGCGATCTAGCCACCCCGGATATGACGCGACGATCGCCCGCAGGGGTCAACCGCCGATGGATCTGCACCCGCTGCAGGAGAGCCGCCCAAGAGGCCAAAGGACGACCAACCCCGCAGGGCGCGAGGCTGGCCAACTTCCTGCGCGACCTAGACCAGCAGCAACCAGGCGCACCCAAACCCCCCCAGGATTGAAACCACTGCCATCGGCAACGCAGGTCGCTCTCCCCGACACCAACACACCCCACCAACAGCTCCTGCGGCCCCGGGAGGGACTCAACGATCCAGGCACAGTCTCTGCCACACCGGCCCAGCTGACTGACGACGACAGGTTGGGTCAAAAGGCCGAGACGCAAGGGTGGAAGAGCAGATGCGACCGCTGCCCCGGATTCGCCCCGCCACATGAGCGGAAGTGCGGGCAAACGTAATTGGGCAATTTCATATTCCGCCCCGACGCGCCCAGACCCGACCCCTCGCATGCAGGGCCTGCCATCGTTCAGCGAGTGGATCAGTACCTTTCTGGCCATGCAATGGAACGCCGCCTGGTGCGAGCGCCGCCTGGTTGACCTTTGGAACGCGCGGCCGACGGACGTGGCGCAGATTCCATGCAGGGACGGCGCCAAGGTATACCCAGACCCCCCGCCCAAGAGTCAACGAGCCCAGCGCCGCTAGTCCCCGCCAGGAACCCGTTGCTGGGGAAGCCCCCCACGCCCGCACGAGGCATCATCCAGCTCGCCGACGCGAAGGGCCAGGACAGGATGGACGAGGCGCTTGCAGACCCCCATGGAGTTTTCATGGAGGCCCAGGCTTGTGACCCCGACCAAACCAGCAGCGGCCATCCACTCGGGAAAACCGAAAGAGCCACCATCGCCATGCAGTCGGCGCGGCGTGGACGAGGCCACGCCAATCACCCTGACCGCGACCGCGCCGCCGGCCCAGGAGAGGCCCGCCCCTGCGCGCGCAGCCACCCCCTCCGCCCGAGGGCAAGGCCCCGCGAAGGCCGAGAGGACAGGCCCTAGGACCGCGACCGGACGTCTTCGCGAGGACCTGACCGAACCAGCCATCACACTCCCAGGGTGAACGGAGACGGTGGTCTGGAGACGATAACAACGGCCTCATGGACCATGACCCACCATTGCGCGCCAATTCACGTGCCGCGTCGCCCGCCAACAGAAGGAGCAGGGGAGAGACGGAGAACGAACAGGGCAACCACCGAGCAAGGACGCCGACCGCCAGAGAAGGGGTGGCAACGCAGCCACACTACAGGACCCGGACTACAGACGTCGGACCAAACCAAGCCCAGCGCCCCCTCAGACAGGGGCCCCCGATCAAGGTGGAGCGACCGCGACCCGGTGCCCGACGACAATACCGGCGCCCCCCACTGACTGACAATACTGACACCGAAAAGATCCTCCTCGACCTCCCCGACGCGCCGGTCGACGCAGACACGGAGAAGGGAATGGAGGACTGCGCCATCGCCCACGCCACGGCACAACACGTCCGGGCGCTACACGACGACGTTGAGAAGGCCTAGCGGCATTGGACTGATGGGCTGCAGCAACAGCGACAGAACCCTGACGGACCCCGCGACGTCACATGGGACCCACGCGCGTGGACAGAGGACGACTGCATGGGCGTCCTAAGCAGCGTCTACGGCGCAACGATCCCAGACAACGGGATGCCCAGTGGATGACCCTGGGGCGAAAGGCGGGCCGCCC